TGTGTGTGTGTGTGTGTGTGTGTGTGTGTGTGTATTGCATGTCCTGCCTTCCTCAGTGTTTCACCACCATATGATGACACGTGTGATGGATGTGTCCTTGACAGCAGAGATAACAGAGTTCGCTGCTCGGCCTTGAGGCCAAAAGGTTACAAATGACATTTAATAACCTCGTAGAGCAGAGAGCCAATAGAAAGCCTTCCTCTGCTTTCTGCTTTGTAAACTAGTTTATGTTCAGTATTAGATACAGAGGACGAAATCAAATGCTTTCATTTCACATAGAGATCATATTGTCTCTGAGCTCTCCGCTGTTAAACGGACATGTAGAAAATCTTTATCCCATTTAACAGTGGATAAAAACATTGAAATGACTCAAGTTCAAACAGCACGATACATGTAAGCATCTTTAAAAATCAATTATGAGTGTCTCACATTATCTAGAGAAAAGAGAAAAGTGTGTCTCTGGAAGGTTTCGTCACTTCCTGTGAAAACTTTTCGACCTTTTCCCACAGAAACATTTGGCCTGACTGTGGCGGGACCAGCACAGGTGCACTCCGTTGTATTAATAATGGTTGTGTTACATTGAGATGTGCCAGTAAACCCTGTCAGGGAGCCAGTGTTCAAAACAGCACAGCTACTGGCACGTCTAAGTGGAACGCATCCATTATTCAATCAGTCACACCTGTGTTAGACTCACAGAATATCTGCAGAGAGAATGTTCTGAAGCTTATTCTGTTTCCTGTCGGATTTAGACGTTTGTAATTCAATTTAAAGCGGCTTTAAAGCCACCTCACGTTTGGCTCCTCACTGTGGACAGTAGTGCACGGTGAGGCTTAGTTGGCACGTTTGTTGGTGGACAAGATATTTGTGCTGAGTGCTCACTACTGCGCTGAAAGATGGACGACACGTCTCCACTTCCTCCCTCCGTACAAAGACGAAGCCGCGCTCTATTTGCAATAAGTAATCAAGGGACGGAGTCGCAGTATCGAAGTCCAGCTGATGCACAAAGCACAGTTTGAATTGGGGCGTGGTAACCATCTGACTGACAGCTAGAACTCACCAATGGGTGCAGGTGTAGGCGGGCGGGCAGTGGCCTCGAGCTCTCAGTCAGGCTCCACCCCCTGCTCCTCCAAATACGGTCACCTCTGGTTTTTAAAAAAAACAACAAGATGCAGAAGGTTTTAAAACGGCTGCTCACAAACTAATGGTTGATTTACTGAAGTGACCGATTGGCCTTAAAGCGCTTCACAGTAAAGTCATGTTTATCTTACAAACATGGACATTGACTCGAGTAAAACTGTGAAAACTCACTTCTACTCCAGTGAAATACAAGACGACACGAGGATATGTTCCCTCAACGAGGAGCACTTAACCTATACAATGCAGCGCATTCAGTCCATCTTAACGACCTGAGTCAGAGGAGAAAAGGGCTGAATTGAAGCAAACTCCTCTTATGAGCAGAAAAGAAAAAAAGTGTGTAAAATGATTAGAGATTCTATTACACACTTGAGCACCATATCAAGAGGCTTTCCAGAACCCTCATAGTTCACTGGGGGAAATGACGTCCACACCGAGATCAGTGCAGTTTTCATATTTAAAACAGCCTTTTGGCCGATGCCTCCTGCGTTAGAAACTTATCACCCTCACGAAAGTCTTACTTAAGCGAGCGAGTTGACGCGTACTGATGATGTGAATGCGTGTACTGTGAGAGTGGCTGGTTGTGGACGAGGGAACACATTTGTTCAGTCTTTAATTTCACAACGCTGCACAAACGTGCAGGAGCTGAGGTGAAGTACAAGTTAGTCTTTTTCAAAATAACAATTTGAGCCTTTTACTGGTGAAAAAGAACGAATCAGGTCGATATCTCATGGACTGTCGCCGTTTAACTTTACTCTTCTTCTTTGCCACGGAGGTGATCTACTGGACCAATTTCCAAAACCCACATCCTTCATCCCCTCTTCCCTCATTGCATATCCATATCCCTTCGTCCTCTTTCCTCATCTCTTACATCCCTTCATCCTCTTTCCTCATCTCTTGCATCCCTTCGTCCTCTTTTCCGTCCTTCCCATACCCACATTCCTCTATCCTCTCTTCCCTCCCTCCCTCATCCCTTCTTATTCCGTCCGGAGCCCACCTCTCGATGTCTCCATGGCTCATAATTAGTTCGGGTGGAATGATGCTTGAGACAGAACCCCCTCCCCCCTTGCTTTAACTCTCACTTGCTTGGTCTCCAGTGCGTCCTTCCAGTCCTCCATCCATTCATCTTTCCTCAACCATTAAACCCTCTGAAGCACATGTCATCATGGCTTGGTTCTAGAATAAATATTCTACAAGAGAAATCTACCCTGAGCCTGTAAGCTGGATGCATATATATAAAAGAAAAATAAAGTCATCATCACCATCTCACATGAAGTTTAAGAGGACAGACTGTTAGATCTTACCCCGATATTGATTTCCTCAAGCTGTGAGGAAAAAGAGTTGGGTGTTTGAGTGCAGGAATGTTTCTGGCTCGTGTGCAAGCAGGTTGTTTTCATTCGGAAAGGTCAGCGGGTTGTTTCTGACTTCACGTCTCGGTCAAGACGCTCCAGACGTCAGCCATCCGTCAAACAGTTTATAGTGCAGAGTCGATCCAGATGGGATCCGTCACAGCGAGACGTCCAGGGCGATGCTGTTTAGTTTCACCACCTTCAGCTCCCCTGGTTAGACGTGCACATGTTCAGCATGAGGACGTGAGGCAATGAAAAGTCACTGAAGCTCATTTCAGTGAGGTTTTGTTACTTAAGCAGTTAAAAGCAGACGTCCATCATAATTACCGTGTTTCAAATAAACAAGGAAAGTCACAGTTAATCCGACCTGTGCGTGAGTCTTTGCTACTCAGCCGATAGAAAGACGTCAGGATTACAAAATGTTGCGAAGGAAACAAGATAAATGTAATAATCCAAAAGGAAATGGATCAAAAATATCATCAAACTTCAACTTTTTTTTGCTTCAGCTGAGTCCAAACTGCACATTTAATTTGAGACCTTTAAAAGCTCCGCATTTCCATAATCCCTCGCACTTTTCTCTCCACGATAATAAAACTTGAGGAGATGGAGGAGTAAAGGGGCACGGTGATGAGGTGAGTGACAAATTTACTAAGTAGCTGAAGGGGAGCTGGAGGTGCACAGACACTCTGGCGACACCCTCTGGTCAAGAAGTCTCCTGGTGTGAGTGCATGTAGTCTGTAAAAATGTTTATAAGGGATCAGAGTCTGTGATGAGGGAGGATGAGGGTCTTACATGTATCGTCCTCATCAGAGTTCCGGGCTGTAGACTCCGCCTCTGCTCAGGTGTCCTTGAGTGTGTTGTTTTTACAAAATGCACAAGTTGACTTTATATTCGTAACATCAACCTATCGTTTAGTGATATTTAGTGATGGTCGTTGCTATTTTTTATTATGAAACAATCACCCGGCCCGAGAAAAAGCTTGATTACGCACAGCAAAGGATCAATAAATTGCATTTTATGGAAACTGTTTGTGACGCTGTTGAGTTTAAAATCACGTTACTGGAGGTGGTGATCTCCTCCAACTCCAAAGTTCATCATGAAATGTATTGAGAAGATGTTTAAAAGAAGATCTGTGGTTATTTTTCACAAAATTGTGACGCAATCTTGGAGCAAATAGACGCGTAAATGCGCACAGAATTTACCTTCCTCGTTTACTTTTAATGGAACTCTGCGTCTCAGTCTTTATTCAGCGTTGACCAGATGTAATCATTATATCTTCCAGCTCACATGCAGCCGTGGAGAGAACTTCAAATGTGTTAATGTGCGAATCTGAACAGCAGGAGGAACATTTCTATTTTTCCCCAAGAGGCAGCTCCATGTGTGAGATCCACACACACACACACACACACAGACACACACAGACACTGTGTGGGTGTGTGTGTGTGTCAGTGGAGGGCTGGCTCTAAGCTTTTAAAGTGCGGAGCTCCAGTCTGGACCTTCCCTCGCCGCGTCCCCAGCGCCCCCAGTAGTTCGGCGGCTCACCGCTGCTTCCAGACCCTGTCACCTCCACCCACTGGTCCGGACACATCGGCAGCGGCTCCCCCTCTCCTCTCCGCCGCGGTGCGCCTCGGACGCGCTCTTCTCTCTTCAGGATGGACTCGTCTCCTTGTCTTCACCTCTCGCTCCGACTGTGACGCTGCTGTAGTTTGGTTGGAGTTCGTGTGGAAGCAGCGGATCCACTGGTTTCTTCTTCTTTGTTACCGGACTGCCGCTGCACTCTCACCCCCGGGCTGCAGCTCCGAGATGGGAATGTATTTGCATCTGCTGCTTTTGCAGTATTATCTCCTGACGAGTTTTGTGTGCAACGCCGTCGCCTTCGTGGAGGAGCCCTCCGGAGGCAGGTCGGACGGGTACTGCGGGCGGATCCTCCGGGCTCAGACCCAGGGGACCCGGAGGGATGGATACAACGAGTTCAGGCTCAGAGTGGAGGGGGACCCGGAGACCTACAGGCCTGGCAGCACCTACAGAGGTAGAGTTTATTCACCGAGTCCATTTGCGCAATCCGTGCGTAAACCTGCGCCAGATTTCACCAGTGGACTCTTTGTTTTAGTTGGAGAAAAGAAAAGTGTTTATATATATATTTTTTTCTGTTTATTTTTGCTTTCAGGAAGCTTGACTATATCCAGCCACCATGTACTCACTAACAAAACAAGGAATAGCCATAGACACCCATTGTTTTGGACATTGCAGGACGCACATTCCCAAACTACCCAGTCTCTGCAGCCGGGATTTGATAAGGCTACTTAGTGTTATAATGTGTGACCTATATTCACTTCCTCTCCTCTTCCTGCAAACACACACACACACACACATACACACACACAGAGAGAGAGAGAGATCTGGCTCCAATTAAGCTGAGTCCAACAAATATAAAGTCTCTATCCAGCCTGGTGGATTTGGCAAAATAGAAAAAAAAAAAAAAAACTTTCCTCTATTCACTGAGATCCCTGTAAGTTCTAAAAGTAAGTTTTCAACTCAAAATACAAAACTTTAGTGTCTTGTTTTGTTTAAAATCGTTGTGTTTAACTGAAAGATTCAATGGGATGCTGTGATTCTAACACTAAACCTTGGCGTGCTGCAGTTCTGATACAGGTTTCACACACAAGGTTGTAAATGAACGGTCACCTTGTCTTTAAGTCTCCAAACTGCGATCACACCAGATAGTGCACTGTTTTTTTTTTCTCTGTGACGCCCAGGACTAAACTCTCATCAGCCATCAGGGACCTGTAAAGACACCACTTCACTAAAAAAGAAATTATTCCCCAAACCTCAGCTGCCTTTAAGTGAACTTTTCTTTTTTTTTTTTTATGGTTGAGATTTGTAAAATATTGACATCTTCCTTCTCAGCACTGGGGGGAGGGGAGGGGGGTCAAGTTTGAAGATAAATGGGCCGGTGTGAAAATGCAAGGTTAGGGGGCGCGAGGGTGAGACGACTACAATTCTGCTCACATCTCATTATATGGCTCCTGTTCCCAGCGCCGAGCTCCCTGCCTGAGATTTATAGCCTCTTTTTAATTCTAGTGTCAGATGATAAAGTCTTACAGCCCTCACTCTCACATCACACCGAAGCCAAACGGCTGGCAGCCCTCACATGTGTCTCTGTAACGTCTTGTGGAGGGGGGGGCGACCCACGCCTCACGCCGAGTGCCCCCCCGATGTGTCAGTTTCAAGCCTCTTTGCTGCTCGGTGTCCCTGTGGAGTAAAACACGCTCTCTCCTCCTTTACAGTCGTCCTCCTGACAGCCAGCCCTGCTTTTTTCAGAGGTTTCACCCTCATCGCCCTGAGGGAGGGCCGAGAGGGCACCACGGCCGACGACTACACCGGACAGTTCCAGGTAAGAGGGAGCAGGTGTGGAGGGGGGAAATCGTGATTGAGTTTTCTGGGAAACTTCATTAAAAACATGAAATCATTTGCATGCTTCAATGTCGACTTAGCTGCTCCCCGCTGTCTCCTGATATGGAGGTTAAAGGAGGCGTTGCTGAAAGATGCAACGCAGCTCCCCTCTGGAAGAGGCAAGGAGAGCTCTCCTGTTGTGGAGGGGGAAGAAGAGAGGAGAATGGAGTTGCCTCTTCAGTGCAGCTCTTCCAGGACGAGGCAGACATGGCATCCGTCCCGCTAAGTAGCAGATATTTCTTCCAGCAGAAGAAGGAGGAGAGGGGAGGAGAAGGCGGAGGAGGAGGAGGAGGAGGCATGTGAGGACAGAGAGAAAAGAGATTAACAGAGAGAGTTATAGAGAGAGAGAGAGAGAGATGTAAGATGTTTGGTTTGGTAGTAACACAACTCCCACTGAGCCGCACAGAGCTCCGGAGGAGAGAGCCAGACTTCCTCAATTACCTCCCGCTCAGTGTAAACAGGAACACACATCTGTAGCTGTGTTTCCACACTCTGCTCTGACCGAACGGAGCAGGAGGCAGCTTCCACGAGGACGCAGAACGTGTTTCTCGCTGGCTCCACCAGACCTCCTAACCACTTTGAGGCAAACGATCACCAGAGTTTGCAGTAACGCTGCTTTTTCCTGCATCCAGACTGAAGAGAGAGAGAGAGAGAGAGAGAGCGTCTTCACTTCCTGTGTTTGTTCCTTTGTTTCCTTTTGATCTGGTCAGTTTTGGTTTCACATTGTACTTTAGACACTGAACAATCTGACGTACGTATACGTCATCATCGCAGAGTCCAACTATTCTCTGATTGGTTTGACATGTTGTCACACTGAGCGAGGTGCTTCATTTGGTTTCCATGGTAACATCATGATTATGGTATCACCAAGTGAACGTCCTCCTCGACATTATATATCGTCGGGGGTGAAGACCGCAGCTCCTTCCTCTTCTTTTTCTTCTTCTTCTGTCGTTCATTTAATGCTGTCTCTACTTCCTGTGTAAACGCTCTGATCCAGACCTCCGACGTTGAATCCGACTCAATTGTCGCTCCTGATATTTTGATTCAGACCGAACTGAGAAGTCTGAAGTTCTGAACAGAACGAGGTGTGAAAACCTCTCGTCATGTACCAGACTCTCCATGATCGTCCAGGTTCAGTCCAGGTGGTAACATCTGTGTTTGGCCGACGTTGAGACTTCTGTCATCCCTGAGGTTTCCACTGAGACTGCCGTGAACAGAACGGCTCCCGATCAACTAACGCAGTGTCCCCGTTCTACACTTCTGTGTTTGTCCGGTGGTGATGCTGCTGGAAGTTTTCTTTCGTAAACTGTGAGCGTGACCTGCAGTCATTGAGCCACAGCAAATAAAGAGCTGCTGCTGCTGCTGCTGCTGCTGCTGCACAAAGAGCTGTTCACCTGTTAATTCAAGGTTCAGTGGAGTTGAGCAGAACCTACACTGCAACTCTCTGGGAGCTTAAAAATAGACATGACAAGAGTGAAGCCGATACGATGAACAGTTCTCCAGATGCGTGAGAGACATATTTATACAGACAGACAGAGATTTCTGGATTATTAGATAAGATTAAATATTTAAACCATCAACCATCGCGCTTGTTGGAGCTGCTAAGCGTGTTTAAGATGATTTACTCACTCGCTGTCAGTGACGGAGCTCCAGCATCGTTCTTGTCTGAAGTGAAGCCAAACAGTGAAGTGACCTGTCTGCATTTCTTCATTGTGTGTGCCTGTTGTTTTTGCCTCTTAATGTGCTGCAGACGCTCACAGCAGCGTCGCCTCTGGGTCTACTCTCAACTTTTCCGTCCACTAAATTATAACGAACGTGTTTGCACAGCGCCCGGTGATAGAATAATTAACAACCACGGGATAAAGAAAACGAAAAAAAACGGAGGCATCAATTAACCACGGAGCCACAGGAGAGTAAACACCAACAATTATAACAAACTGTGCATCGATCTGTAAAACTGAGAGAGAGAGAGAGATTTTGTGTGTGAGCTCTCCGGGCGGAGAAAGTCTGTTTTATTTTTTAACACAGAGTTTGGTGCAGAGACGTCAGCACGGCCCTGGCTGAAGGTGGAACAGTTTGTTGCATGAGAACAAAGAAGTAGAGTAGCCTCGTTGTGTTGTAGCTCGCAGCAGGACCTCAGGTTTAAACGGTTTCGGACCGGGCTCGCTCTCCTCCTCTACTTGATTTCCGCTCAGTGCTCGATAAACACCTCAAGTCTCGAACTCAGTGTCCCGGCAGAGTCTGGAGCGGGGCTGAGACCAGGGAGCGGAAACTGGAACATCGTGGGCTGAGCTCGCAGCGAAATTAAATTTGACAATCTGGCCTCGCAATCTGTTTAACACATATTGGCAAATCCATCAGATGCTCTTGGTTCCGTAACTGACAGTTGTAACTGACACTTCTATCCACACTTGAAAAACGATGGCGGCCTCTTGAGATTTCAGAACACAGTCTGGTGTTTGAAGAATGTTTCTGACGAGTTGACTGTCCTGTCTCGTGTTACTACACAACCACACCGCGTCACTTTAATTAAACTTTTACTTTCAGAAATTAGTTTCAGAACGATTTCCTTCATTAAATACAACATCATTTATGTCCCGTTGATATTAATGGCTCGATAAGAGAAGATGCACCATGACAGTAAGTTTGCCTTTTTATCTAAATGACCGCAGTCCATCAAACTCTGCCGAGCCTGACGTCTACTTTTCCTCCTTAGAAGCTAAAAAAAAAAAAAAAAACTTTAGGTATCTTCTCTACATACATCATCTGAACTCAAGAGATTTCATCAGAGCTTGAACTCGTTACCAGTCTAGTTGTTCCGTCAGGTGACGAAAAACCTAAAAACGTCCTTTCCCAGCTCAGTCGGGACTTTGGGAACAACTAAATTTCAATTTCCATTTCACAGCTCTTGTCTGTTTTCAGTGGTAAATGATGAGCTGTGGTCAGATTCACATGATCACGTTTAACACTCGAAAACAACAATTCATTTTCCTGACAAGTTAATTCTGAAGCCAGTTTCGCAAAGTCACGACTGTTGTTGTGTGTGGTGGTCGAGCTGAGTCGTGGTTCCCCGCGTGGTCGCTCTCCCTCCTCGCTCTCTGGTTCTGGGCTGTTTCTGGCAGCTGTCCCGGAGAGCGCCCGCCTGCTGCTTCGCTAAGACACAACGACGCACATCCACCACTCATTGTTTTTTTCCCTTAAGCAATAATCGTCTCTTTGTCCCTGTTTCCATTAAATGACTTGTGTGTTAATGCGTGCGACCTCAGAGAGTGTATCTGTGAGCGAGCATCTGTGTGAACGTGAGAGACCCACTATCCCACTGAGGCCGCTGTCATTGTCTGCTCGGAAATGTGTGTCTTTGTGCTTATACATGCACCAAGTGGGTGTGCGGGTATATGTGTGTGTTTTTCCCAGCCCTCTTTGCGGCCGCGTCGGACGTGGGTCATATTTATCTAGGCCAGCGACGTGTTATTGCTCAGGGAGACAAATGGAGCTTGTTTGGATAAGGGGAGAGATGAGCAGACATGAGATATTATCTTCCTTGTTTCTGCACAGATTATCTGGCGTTCAGAGTTTAGCCCGGGATAAACAAACCCAATCAGTTTAAAGTGCCACGGCTAAGTCACAGGTTTTAGATCCCGGCAATTATGTAAGCCGAGCAGAGCTTAGGGGGCTTTAAAGAAAAGGACATGTAGGATGTGTGCAGGGTTGTAATGATGGTGACCTGATATGCTGCACACTCAATCACACTCAGAGGCAATAATTACTTTAGCATCACATCTCAGCACCGAAAAACCACAGAGTCTCGCTCGGCTCCCCTGTTTTTCTGATTAACAGCAGTTTGCAACGATGACTTCACTTGTTTACTTCATGAAACTTCCTGTGTGGCGTCAGAGAACGGTTTGCACAACTTTTATTTATTGTACTTGACAAGCTGGTTGGTTCAGATGCTCGAGGTTTGCACAGATAATGTACTCTGCGCCGATTGGAGCTCGTTAAATTCATTATGCATCAAAACCGTGAGTCGCTCTCCGATTCTCTCGGGGTTCAGTTGTTGCTCTTCAAGTGTCTGAGAAAATGAGCTCTTGCAGTGAAGTGACAAATTATTAAGAGTTAAGTGGATTCGTACGAGAGCCGGACCGAGGTGGATGTTTTTGGCAATAACAACGATGATGTCTGTGCTGTTGTCTGTTGTGTCTTCACTAAAGCTTCGTCCAGATGATGAAACATGTTGTGGCAAAGAGCGATATAATAGTTTTTCTTTTGTAGCACTAAGCCTGTGTCATAAAAGATTTTCACTTCCCCCCACGTTGCATTTGTGCAGCTCTGGGTCGTTCAGTCTGTTCCCAGTGTGCGTTCTTAAGTCAAGGTGACAGACTTGTCTGTCGTCGTCTGAGCTTTTCACACCAAAAAAAAAAAAACCTCAGATAACGTCGCAGCCTCAGACGAGAAAAACAGAGACGAGAAAAGGACGTGACAGACGTAAAAGAAGGGCAAGGAAGAAATGATTTGAGCACAGAGACAGTCCATTTGTGTTCGTCTGCATGAATACAGATGGCACACAAACACCCCTCTCTTTGACAGCTCATAAAAACTTTAACTTTCTCTTAAAATGACCTCGACAAAACAACACGGCTGCAAAGCTGTGGATGTAACAGGAAAAAGTGGATTTTTAAAAAGAGCTCTGGGGTCATTTTTACGAATATTAAACAGCAGACGAACAATACGCTCACTCTTCTCCTGTGTTGTTTTGTGTAATTGAATGCCAAAAGCCACAGAATTGACTCCATTTGTTATGGTAATAAATTTGCACACACACACACACACATTTGGTTTTTTCACAGGCTAACTGTTTGGGTATGTGCCACCGCCGTCTCGGTCGGGTGGCTCCGATACACAATGTGAAATGATGCAGTATCGGCGATAGACCCGAGATCTCTC